TGTGTCACACATACCATTTAATTGAATAAAGGGAGAGGGCAGAAATGAGTACCCAAACGCAGGGAAATTAATAATAAACACCACTCTGTGAGGCCCATATATATTTTGTCTCTCCTGTGAACCCCTGAATCCCCACTATCTCTCACAGAGCCTGATTCAGAGTGAGTGGTGGATAACTGTTATTGAATGTACAGGTGGACACGTGAATCTGCAGCACCCCACCCCCATCCTTGTCACCTTTGTCCCACCTCTACAGCACTCTATATGTCAAAGTGAAGGTCAGTAGGCAGAAGGGCTTCCTGAGAACATTTTGTTTCTGCTCTGGTCTAGGACACAGTACTACGGCCTGGCAAACAGATGGCTTGCTCATTTAACATTGTTCTTTTTCAAGCAAAATGTCCTTGCAAGATTTATTCTCAGGGACACCAACCTGCTGGCAAGGATCTTTGGAGTTAACTCCTCTGGTTTGGTCTTGCCTGCCAGATGCATTCCCCAAGTGTCTGTCACTCATGGTCACCTGAGAGGCTGCTGAAAGTGCTAACACTCCCTTCTCTCAGCCAAAGGCACAACCAAGGTCTTTACCGCAAGACGTAAACAAGAGAAGTACCCGTGGCAGCAGCTGCTGGCCCTGGGATAGCCTAGCTTGCTCAGCACTTGCTCCCAGTGGGGAGAATTGATAGGACTCTGCTCTTCTGCCAGCCATAGCTGTTTACTTGCTGGGAAGAGAGTCCAGGGGCTGTGACGCTGGTCTGTGTGGGCAGAGACAAGCGAGCAGATGAGAATCATGCCTGCTCATCGTACTGGAACAAATGACTTCCGTGATTGCCCAATTGATGCCAGTGGAGCTGGGAAGCTAAAGGGCATTGCTGGTGCCTATGAAAATGTTTGCTGAAAGAGGCAGCCTGGTGAGCAAGGAACTACCCACCCTCCAAATCCATGCCTTTCCTAAGCCAAAAGCCTTGATAGAGGTGATTGTGTATGGGATGGACAGTGGCTAGGATTTGGGCTGGAAGGAGTGCCCTCAATCTCCGAGGGACCTCTTTGGGCCTTATTCTGTGTATCAGGGTAACAGTGAAGATATTTAACAACTGGTATGGTGTGGTCACTAGCCAATAAGAATGAAGAAGAGCTTTATTGCTGAAGGTCTCAGCTGCACCTGGCCTGAGCCCTTTAGCAGTTGATGGGGAAAATGGGGAGAAAGGGCGAGGGGGCAGGAGTGGGGAGAGGACTTGGGGAGCTCTGGGCATCCACTGTTCACTTACCACTATAGGCTTAGTTCAAGATATTAGCAACCAGTGTGGCCACATTCCCGACTGACTATATGGTATGAGAAAGGTGGATTTGAATCTCGTACATCAGAATCACTTGGGGAGTATGTTGAAAACACAGGTGCCTAGTCCCCACTTCAAAACTGTTGAGCTCTGTCAGCTAGCCTACTACACTTTGGAGACCTGAGTGCCTGGATCTCCTGATCTCTAAGGGTCCAGCTCTAACTTTTGGTGCATCACTGAAGATTTTGAAGTGAAGTCCAGCTCACAGACTATAGGAGAACATGCCTCGTTCAAGTGGAGGTCATGTGAGTGCGGGAAGCAGGGTGGTAGGGCTGTGGCAAATTGAAGAGTGCGATGTCTGTCTAACTAAAGCTTGACCCTGACCCAGCACCCCTGGATGACTGCTGCTCTGAAATGCTGGTCTGACATGGACAGACATTGTTAAATTTTAAGAGAAGTTGGAAGCCAGTGAGCCATGTGTTTAGTCAGTCCTGAACCTCAGCAATTCACAGATGGAGCACTGCTTCAGACTCTTTCTACTCCAAAAGCACAAGGTGAGGGTCCTGATGCTGCTTAAGGAGACCTTTTTCTTCAAGTGTGGCCCTAAGAGTCCGTTGTCAGCTGCTTGTCACCTCTCAGATGTCCCCCTGACCCTGTTCTCCCAAATCAGAGCCTGCCCTCAGCAGCTTTACTGGCACTGAGATGCCGTGCTCTTAGGAGGCAAAGGGGCACCTTCCCAGCAACTCTGAGTCTTAGCTGAGCAGTGGAGCTCTCAAAGGATGGGATGCTTGGCCTCAGACGGGAAGTGCTTGTGTCTACCGAGGATCTCTGGAATGTTTCACAAAGAAGTGGATTCCTCTAAGAGAATATGGCTTGATTAATACATTTAAACCCAAGTGTCAAATGCTTCTATCTTTGCTTGGGATGCCATTCTCCCCACCCTTTTTTCTGACTCCTACATGTTCTTCAGGACTTACTTAGTCTGGCCTGTGTTCTGACCTCCATGATGGGGCTCTACTAGTTTTCTTCTAGCACCTTCACCTTGGCCATGCCCTTGCTTTAGATTTTCTCACCTGGAGAAAATCCACCTGGAGTGGCCTGCTCCCTTAAAAATGTCCAAATTTGATATGCGAGGGGTGTGCACCATGTCACTTTATAATATGTCAGTCCTTACAATAGCCCAGTGAGATTGGCACTATTATGATTCCTATGTAGGAAAACAAGGATCAGAGAGGTTAAGTAACTTGTCCAACATTATATGGCTAGTAAGTGGGGATTGGATTTGAACTTAGCCTGTGTGTAGCAGAGTCTACATTTGTAACCTCTGTACTGTGTTATGTCCCTGCAGCCTGAAGTCAGTGCCTGAGGTCAAGGATGGTCTCTTAATTCATAAATCATAGTCCCACACTGGGTTTTGAAGTCAGATACCTTGAACTCAGGCTGTGGGCAGCTTTCAAACTCAGTCTGCTACAATCTGTGTTTACCCTTCATGCCTTGGTTTCCTTGGCCCTGTACTGGGGACAATAATAGTTGCCTTATGAGGTTATAGCAGACACAACAGGAGAGGGTGTATCTATTGTTTTCACTGTGGTGCCCTACACCCAGGAAATGTCTGAAACGCATTGGTGGAATAAATGATTGGAAGTGCCAGTGGGTTCAACTTTATTTGGAAATGACACTCTCCTGATCCTTTTGAATGCTCATATGATCCTACAAAGATGGGGTTTGGTTTGGGAGGGAATACATTTGATGTTGGGTATTGGTGAAGAGTCTGGATGGAATGGGGGTGTCAAACTTGCAGAGCTGTTCACATTTCTCAGAAAGGCCACCCTATACAGAGAGTGGGCAATTGGAAAAAAATTCTTTTTCATTTGGAAGTCAAGGACTATCTCCATTACTCCAGTACAACCCAGTTGTCAGCCACAACAATTAAAAATTAACTGGATCCATTGCTACTGAGGCACAGACTAAATATTTGCTTGGCTGGTCATCTCATAAACCTGCCATTCTGGTTGTAGAGTAGCTTGCCAAACTCATAGCTAAATTCATTGAGGGTGTTCTTTTGAAGATGCCTCCCTGTCCTTGTGACTTGCTCCCCATTCTCCATCTAGATTTATATTCAGCTCAGAGAGGTGAGGAGTTGGTCATGTTGTCTCTGTTGAGTAGACAAGGGTCATATCTCACAGAAACATAGCATGTGTTACCCGGTTGTCTCTACCAACTCCAGAGGTTTGACACATGCACAGTGTTTCTTGGTAGGATTATGGTTTTGTTTTTGCTTTATTAATATCTGGAAAAGTAGGTGGACAATTCAGTTTGTTGTATGTGTGTGTGTGTGGGGGGGTAGGGGGATGGTTATGTAAAGATAAATGTTTTAATTCCAGGATTTCAAGAGCTGTCCAGGGAAAAGGTCTAATTAGACTTGCCCTTTTTTTTTTTTTTTAATGACACCCAGCCTTAGTGGCAAATGGCATTTATGCACTAAGGTGCTCACATTGTTGGGCATGCAATAAATGTTAAGTCACAACAGTTATGTGTAATGAGAATTAATGGGTTGTATTACAACGTTGCCTCCGCTCTCTGGGGTGCCCCCTCAGCCCTGTTTGTAAGGCTCTCACTTCGCCCCATCTCAGTGCGGTCACCTGCTTTGCAGACCACCTTTCTGTTCCTAGTCATCATGAGTGTCAAAGCCTTTTCCCTTCTTCCCTGACACGTCCCTCCAGTGTATCTTTCTCTCTCCTACTCACCACCCCCACCTTCTCTCTGACCGCTCTTATTCATGCCACAGCTCCATTCTCCCTTTCCTCTCCCACCTTGTCTGCTGGGTCCCTTTGACAGCAGCTGTCCTCTGGGGAGTGTCCCCAGTCCAGCCTTGGACTGGCATCTTCTCACTGACCCTGCTGCCTTATCCCACAACTGGGTGAAACAGCTAATCTGCCCCAATGTAAAGAAATAGGAGAAGGTAAAGGCTGTCGTCACGCAAATGGAATATATATCTAAACTCAAACCCCTTATGCAGTTTCTCTGAAGCATGCTGTGTTTTCTTGGGGAAGTCAGCCTGGAGCCAGGATGAATGAATTATCCGTAATTCCACACAGGACCCTACCCATATCTCTGTGCCTCCTGCTTCATTTGTCGTGTGGGATTATAGATGGGAAAACAGACTGAAAGGCTTAAAGTGTGATTGATCATCGCTTTCTCTCTGACCCTCTCGTTTGGACCAAATCCAGTGAGCTGACTCCCTTTGGCTTTAGAGGGTTCTCAGAATGATCAGAGTATCTACCTCGCATCCTTCCCCCATGTCCCCTTGGCAGCCACGATATGACTCTATGGAGGGAACAGCGTATGGCAGCCACTGGTGGTCAGCACACGGGCCCCAAAGATGGCAGAAGCTGTCCTCATGCTTGTTGAGAAAATGGTGAGGAGGCCAAAGAAGCAAATCAACATGACCCCATTGTGATGCCCCTGGCTGAAGCCTCTTTGAGGACACCAGAGAGATGCTACATGGAACACAAGGGATGAGGGACCAGGGAAGGGTGGGCAAGACTGTCTCCCATTCCTTGGTCTGAGTCAAAGGAATCAAAGCTGCATCAAAGCATTCTGTGTGGAAGGCCGTACATACACTTTCTCTTCCCACCCAGGGCAGGAACCCTGTTCGCACCTTTCTTCTCCCACCTGCCGACGGAGCAAGGACCTGTGCTCAAGCACCCAAAGAATGGCAGGACGCCATCAGTGGAGGCAGACTGTATTTAAATGCAATTCACCTCTTTTGGGTCTGGGAAAAGCCACCCGTAGCTTCATTTGCTGGGAAACACGGTCTGTGTGGCCGCAGCAGTGGGCACTGGGGCGGTGGTCTTGCCCAAAGTCGACTTCCTCCGGAGGTCTGTCTGCTGTCCGGAATGGCAGCCGCTTCGGTGGGCGAATAGGATGGTCATCTCTGGGCCTGAAGGGGCTGCTTCGGGCTGGGACCCCTTCGGGGTGGCGGGCTGTTCAGGCTTTCCTGACGTGGGGTGGGTGGTGTACTGTTTGGCCGGAGGAGGGCTGTAATTCTGAAATCTCACGGTTTTGACTTGCTGCAAGAGAAAGGAGAGCACAGGGGCCCAGGTGAGGTGGGAGCGGTGTCCCCGGGACGTGAGCCCTGCTGTTTCTCCACACACGCCCCTACTTAAAACGCCTCATTTCTATGTTCACTCTGCAAATGCCTGCCTCTACTGTGAGGGTCTCCAATGCACCACACTCTCTGGTAGGTGCTGTGGGTCCAAGAGGGAACAAGACTGTCCTAACAGACAGTGTTACCATGCGCTGTGGTGGCGAAAGTGGAAGACCCTAGGGGTGTGCAGAGGCCTATCTAACAGCAGCTGGAGTAGGGTAGCCAGGGAAGGCCTCTTAGAGCCACAGCTATTTAAACAGAGAACTGAAGAACGATTAGAAATTTCCCCGGGGGAAATGGGAGAGGCAATCCCTTGAGCAAAGGCCTCAGGCCAGAGGCTGCGGCCTCTTCCAGAAAGTACAAGAGCTTCACCTTCCCTTTCTCCTTGACACCTGCAGTTCAGGCCTATCTCTAGGCCCACCTCTTCCTTGAGGCACCCCCATCCCCTTGCCTGCTGACTGCAACTCAAAGTCTCATGGTGGCCTTATATCCTCAGAGCAGAGTTTGCAAAGTGGACTCCTGCTGTTTGAATTTAGTCTGCAACATGTTTGAGAGTCTGATGTAGTTGCTGACACATAAAAATGGGGATATTGCACATAAAAATTAGAATTTCATAGGTCTCTTAAAAAATCAAAGAGCTGATATGTTGAGGCCTGTGCGCTAATGAGTCAGAGCTCATGAGCTGGTCCGCCTTCATATGGAACGCATGGTCTCCTGTCGCCCAAGCCCCCCAACCCCCCCCTTTTTTTTTTTTTAACTTTTAAAGCTTTTTTCCTCCCTCTTTCTTTCACCTCTCCTTGTCTCTTATATAGCTACCTTGTACCAACACGTATTTCTTGAGCACATCCCTGATTTAGGCCTTAATAGTGTTCTGTGCTGCTACTTAGTAATTGTTTTTTTTTTTTTTTTTAATGACATTGGATCCTAGTGTCCCCCACTGAGAATCCAAGTTTCTTCATTCTTTTGACCCTCACCATATCTCACAGAGGTCTGGGCACTTATTAAATGCTGACTGTGAGGGCTGTGTCTCAAGCATGTTATTGAGAGTATAAAACTTTTACAAAAACTCAAGGCTTCTAGTGGGAAAAGCCCTGGACTAGAAGTTAAAAGATCTGACCTCTGCCACAGAGGTCACAGTGAAAGTTAGTGGTTGTAGTCATTATAATTGGGTGTGACTTTGATAAATCCCTTAGGTTCTTCTGTGTCTCAGTGGCCTCTTCTATATCATGAGCACTTATGACCAAACCCTGTTGGATTACGTTACACATCTCATCTCATTTTATCTCTTTGTCAGTCCTGGGAGCCTGTTACTATTCTTACTGCCATTTTACAGATGGAGCAAAAAGGGTCTCAGGAAGGTGAAGTGTTTTGGCTAAGACACCAGATAGCAAGCAGCTGATCTGGAATTCACATCAGAGAAGGCTTATGACAAAGCCACGTTTTTTCCAACTCACCCTTGGGCCTCGAAAGACGAAAGATGTAGGTACGAATCTTTTCAGGAGGCATATGGAGGAGATAAGGTAACACACCCACAGAGGGTATCAGTGGCCTGAGGGGGTGTGAGGGACACGCTTTGTGTGAGGATTTTTTCGAGGCACTTTTAATGCCTCGCCCAGGTAAAACAAATCTTGGGAGCTGGGACACTGTGCCAGGTTAGGGATATAAGGACTCCGCGCCCCCACCCCTCATGTCACCTCACCCCTACCTTTTCGCTGCCGTTTCTGGAGTTTTCTGGTTTCACCAGGATGGATGGTGGGGCGGAGGCAGGCGGTTTAGGTGGAGGCTCGCTCTTGATGGGGATTTCCTTGCCTTCCATGATGAGGGAGCTGGCTGCGGAGCGGGTCCTGGTGTCGCCGCCCCTGCTGACACACGTGAGGGCAGGCTCTCCGGTGGGAGTGGGCTGCGGTCCCAGTTCGGCCACCACTGTGGAGGGGGCGGGGGGGACCCCCTGCGGCTGGTAGAACGGGAACTGCTGAGGTTGCACCACCATGGCGGGGCTGCGTCTGAGGGAGCCCACCACCAGGGCGGGGATCCCTGTCGGGACGGGCCTCTGCAGGGATCCATCTGAGGAATCACAGGACACAGATATCAGCACCGGGGGCCGCTGACAGTGGCTTTGCTCACACTTGTGTGGGCTGTGTGTCCTGATAGCCCAGAATAGTTAAGTGCTTTCCCAATTTGAGTGTGCTCACATTCTCGCAGGGTCTTTCAAAGGTGACCTTATTCTTTTTTTAGTGCTGTTTGCTGATGCTGGCAGGAAATAACTGGCTAGCTGAATGTTTGGTGGGGGAGCTAGTGTCAGAAGGTATATTACTACTCCCATTTGCCTCCTCCCTCTCTCTCTCTCTCTCTTTCTCTCTCTCTCTCTCTCTCTCTCTCTCACACACACACACACACACACACACACACACACACACACACACACACACACTATTCCCACTTTCTCACTTCGGGCCTGTAAGTTGTAAAGTGAAGAGTAAAGACACACCTAAGGAGACAGCTTCACAGTGAGAAGCAGAGGCAAGCAAACCAAAAGGCAACAAAAGATACAGAAGGAATTGAGAAACACAAGAGTCAGTCTACTGGGGAGGGATGAGAGGGTGGGAGAGAGGGAAGCAGAGAGGACAGAAGGGGAATCTGCTGAACATCTTGAAGAAAATTCTAACAGCAGCTGTAGGCATGTGGCAGTGGGATCGCGCTTGTTGGGGGCCACGGGGAGGAAGGGCAAGTAGAATTAAGGAAGAGAGTGTACAGGCAAACATGACAGCACATGGAAGTAAATTTGGAAAGACTGTTCTTGAGTTAGGGCTATGTGTGGATGAGCTTTGCAAAGTCCCGTGACAGATGTTCTGGAATCAGACTTCCTCCCAGGGGGCCTGGGACGGGTCAGCCACATCCCCTCTCTGCATCTCAGCCCCTGGTGGGTAAACCCAGCACCTGACGGGGCTGCTGGGAGGCTGACATTTCGCGATGTGTGAAAAGCACTACGACAGCGCCTGGAACATAATAAACGCCCCATGTTTCTAAGATTTTGTTGTTTTTGAGTAAAGGACAGAAAACTCAAAAAATACAAGGTCCAGGACTATGGTTTTATCCCTTCATTGACCCTTTTTGTTTTGTTTTGTTTTTGTTGCTGTTAATGGAGATGATCTTCCCTCAGTAAAAGGAAGCCATTCCTACCCCTCAAATTCTCTAGAAGACAGGATATACGCCCTTGTCATCTCTCAGGCATGTGTCTTTTACGTGAATAGGGATGTCACTGCACTCTCTGGGGAGACAGGCACACCCTTGGGAAACACCTCCATCCACTTCTCCGAAAGCATCTCTGAGCATTTAGGGAGCATGGATGACATCCAGTCAGAGATGTTAGTCCTTTGTGATAGCCTCTGGACATGAGTCTGAATCACAGGCATTTGTGTCCAGCACAGGGGGCCTGAGCCAATGCCATGTTCTACATCTGGACTCTTGGTCAAGCCAGATGTGAACATGAAAAGCAGAAGTCTTATGAAACGCAGTTGGTGTTCTCAGCTGCCGTGAATAAGCCAGGTGCCATTTACACAAATGTGCCCTTTCAATGTAGACATTTATTTTTTCACTGACAGCCGTACGGGGCTCACAGTCAGTTCTCCTGTCATCTGTCTTTGCTGTGGGGAGATTGATAGCTTGACTAGCCTCACCTTGGGAAAGGGAGAGAAAAGGCCTCTGGGACCTGAGAAAGTCAAAGCAGCACTGGACAGACCTATCCTTAGGCTCCTGGAAACATGTGAAAAATTGGTTTTATGCCTCATCTATTTATCTTGTCAGTTCTTATTACCAAGAGATTTAATGCTTTCTTATTTACATATGGATACAGTGCAGTCATAACTCTTGGTCAGTCAAGATCTATGCAAAGGTAGAGAGGGAGTGTGTGAAAGGAAGTATGAGCAGTTGACAGTGGGGTACAGTCTTCAGTGCTCATAAGTGGTGTAGACTGAGTGTGAACGTTCCAACACTGAGTCACTTCACACACTGGATGGGCCAAAGAGGACCTGTTTACTGGTAGTAGTAATGATGGTACTGATAAAATTATTACTTTATAAAAATAGCTATTACTTCTTAAGGCTTATGATGTGCCAGGCACGTGCCATCAGTCTTACATGGATCCTTTTATTAAATTCACCCAATAGCTCCAAAGAGCCCTGATTTTAATGTTTGTTTATTTTGAGAGAGGGGGAGAGAGACAGAGCGTGAGCAGAGAACGGGCAGGGAAAGAGATGGAAAGAGAGGATCCCAAGTAGGCTCCTCCACACTGGCAGTGTGGAGCCTCATGGAGCGGCTCGATCTCACAACTGTGAGATCATGACCTGAGCCAAAATCAACAGCTGGATGCTTACCTGACTGAGCCACCCAGGCGCCCCAGGCAGGTATTATTTTTATTTCCATTTTACAAATGAGAAAACTGGAGACTGAAGAGGTCCACTCGATTGCCCAAGGCTGCCAAAGTGGGATTATTTAGTAGGTGTTTGTGTTGGGCAGGGAGAGGGAGGTGGAAGTGCATGCGGGAGGAGGGAAGAGTGAGGAGGGGCAGGTGGGTAGAGGCAACACAGAGCGAAGTCAAGTACATGGTGGCAAGATCACTGGGAGCCACAGGGCCAAGATACCTGTTTTAATATTCTTGGGATCTTTTCCTGTGTGGCATACTGACCCACATGTTACACTCTTGGTTTGAGTAGTTTTACTGCATTTTCAGGTGTAATCATTTTTTAAGATAGCGAGAGAGATTGTGGAGCCCAGTTGAAATCAGAGGATGAAGAATAAATCAAATTTACTTGGCTCATGGTCTTCTAGAGAGGTACACAAATAGAGAACCTTTGTGTTTTGTGGAACAATGGGCTCCAAACAATTTTTAAAATGCCTGAAAATGAAGTCTTATGTAGCAGTTCAGTATTTTGGGAGATAAAAGCATTGCCATGTGAATCATGTGGATGTTATACAGGTAAAAATAACAGCAAGGTGCAGAATGGTGCATGCAATAGGTATGATTACAAATACTATTTATATACACAGAAGAGCACCGGGGACAGGGGTTATGGATATAAAGGAGACTTCCTTTTGTACAATAAAATGTTTTTAAACCTAATGTATATATTAATTAAATATACAAAGCAAGATTTGGGGACTGTCAGCATTAGACTCTTCAATCCTCTTTACCCCCCCTCCCCGTCCACCTCCCTGATCTTTCCCATGTTTCCCTTTTGGGCACCCCTGCAGGGTTCCCTGGACCATAGTCTGAGAAGCACTGATCCAGCAAGTACTTTGCTTCTTCTGTCTTACCTAGAGCCAGCATGCCCCTTGGCTGTGTTCTAATCATATGCCGACACTCAGGGCTACTGTCATTCCACCCATTCAGTATACATGTGTGGAGTGACCAAGGGCAGTGACCTTAAGTCAGTCTGGCTTCATCCACTAAGAACAGTCACTATTTGGAAATTAAAAGCAATCTTTCCAGAGGCTTGTATTGAAGCCAGTATCCTGCTTTTGCAAAATGGACTCTGTCAACCCCAGAGTCAGATTCCCCCATCACTTAGCTCTAGGCACGTACCTCTCTGCCACCACTTACTCTTTCTCATGCTGCTCCTCCCGGACTTCTGAAGAGAGCCCTGTCCTAAAGTCCCTGGGCTGGCTGTGCTCCTCACGGGGTTGACGATGGCGGTGGGCACAAAGACGGACTTGAAGGGACGGTTCTGGCGGGGATCACCTTCTGAAATGCTGCCTTGTGAGGACACAGAGGAGTTGGATAATGTCCATGTGGCATAGAGGCCAGGACTCCGAGGATCTGGAAAACTAGATGTCTTTCTGGTTGTTGTAAGTGTTTTAAAGAGAAGAAATAAAGAAAATGCTCAGTTAAGAGTCCTGCTTAAAAACGCTCTCAACTGTAGCCTTAATGTGGCCTTTCTTCACCCTCTTCCTACCAATTATGCTCCCTTTATTAACCACACAGGCTTGATCATGTGGGCCTCACCACCTACAGCTGGGCAACTGTGCACGTGTGCAGAGGCAGGGAGAGGGGCTTATACTGAGGCCCCACTGGAACAAGAACACTTGACTTTTGTCATCTTTCATTCCAGCTATAATCACTCCTAACCCCATGAGTTTGGAGCGCAAGGTCTTGAATGTGTTCAACTCGTTTTGCGGTTCTGATTTCCTATTCATTCCATGACTTATTCCATTAGATTCTAAACTCTTCGAAAGCAGAGATATTATATGCTTTATTTTACATCCTCTGTTTTCTGCAGCTATTGTGTATCAAGAAATGTCTGTTGAATGACTTCCATGATGCTTTCAAGCACTGAAGCCAGTCATTTTGGCTAACACACATTGAGCACTTTTTGTTTGCTGGGCATTGGGCATTGCTTTGCCCACATTCACTCTTGGGTTCTTCACAACAGCCTTCTGAGGTAGGTACTATTAGTGCCAGTATTTTATGGATAAGAAAATAGAGACTTAGAGTTACTTGGCCAAGCATCTACCACACCTGAGATTTGAACCCAGGTCCAGGCTGGCTCTGTGCTCTACCACTGAATAGATCACCATCTTACCACTAGGGAGAGTGTTCTAGCTCTAGGGAGAATGTTCAAGGTATCGTTTAGGTACAAGGAAGCCCTGCATCCTGCTTGAAAGAGATGGACTGAAGCAGTGGGTAGGCCCTACACATCCCTTTGGAAGACCCTCATTTTTCAGCCTTGGGCTCTAATTTTTTTTTTTCCTGGCTGGTTATCACTGCTTTTTTTTTTTTAATTTTAATTTTTTTTTTACAAATAGTTTATTGTCAAGTTGGTTTACATATAACACCCTGTGCTCATCCCCACAAGTGCCCTCGCCCTCCATGCCCATCTCACTCCTTCCCCCCAACACCCATGAGTCCTCAATTTGTTCTCAGTATTCAAGAGTCTTTCATGGTTTGCCTCTCTCCCTTTCCCCCACCATTTCCCCCCTTCTTCTCCCCCATGGTCCTCCATTAAGTTCCTCCTAATCCTCCTCTACGTGCAAACATACGATATCTGTCCTTCTCTGCCTCACTTATTTCACTCAGCATAACACCCTCAAGGTCCATCCATGTTGCTTCACATGGCCAGATTTCATTCTTTCCCATTGCCATGTAGTATTCCATGGTATAGATAAACCACATCTTCTTGATCCATTTGTCCGTTGATGGACACTTAGGCTCTTTCCATGTTTTGGCTATTGTGGAGAGTGCTGCTATGAACATTGGGGTACATGTGCTCCTATGCATCAGCACTCCTGTATCCCTTGGGTAAATTCCTAGCAGTGCTATTGCTGGGTCATAGGGAAGTTCTATTGTTAACTTTTTGAGGAACCTCCACACTGTTTTCCAGAGGGGCTGCACCAGTTTACATTCCCACCAACAGTGTAGTAGGGTGATTGGGCTCTAATTTTTAAGAGTAGTATTAAAGTTTTAGAAAACAGCAATCCTCAGTCAACCACTTCTAGATTGAGACTCCCTGAACCCCATGGAGGAATGGCTGGCATTTTACATGTGCTTCTTTCCCTTTTACCAATCCTACCCCAATATCACAGCCCTGATTAAGCAGTCCATTGATCAGCCTGTCACTCTGTTGATGAAATTACCTCCCTGGGAATAACCAACTCAACCAAGACCCTGGCTCAGAGATGTCCTCCCTGGTAGCCTTCCCATTAACGCCTACAGTCATTTCCCTTTATTTCTCCTCCTCTTCTCTCCTTCTTTAGCTGAAAAAAGTGATATGGCACTTGACAACAAGCCAGCCAGTGGTACAGAGATAGGTAAGGCATCACTTAACGTGGCCACCTCTGCCCAAGAAGCATATGCAGCCAAATGCCCAGGAACGATGCTCACAGTGAAGGGACTTCTATCCACAGCCATCAACCTGCCTCTGGTCCCTGGTGACATGGTCAGTAAAGGAGTATGGGCTGCCCGCAGTAAGAGCTCCTACTCTATTCTGGTGTTCAGGGCTGGCAGAGGACAGAAATCCCCAGCCCTGGCCTCCATAGCTGCATGCTGCATCTGCCTGTTCTTTGAATGGGGGGCCTCAAGGTGTTGAATGCTGTAAAGTGGGTTGGCATCAGGAAAGACAGCTTCCAAAACCATTCCCAGCAGCAGCAAGCACAGAGTACAGTTAATTAGGCCCAAGCCAGCCTTATTCCATAAGTCCCTTTTCTGAATGTTTATAGACCGAGCAGCAACCTGATTTTTCTGAGCCCAGGACTAGGCGAGATTCCAAAAATCCCTAAATCCAGAGTCCTCCATCCAGCACAGGGTCCCTCTATGTCTTTTGGCAAAAAGCTCAGCACTTACCCACCGTTTTCTTCTAACATCAAAGTACTTTGTGAACATGTATTAATTAATCCCCATAACACTCCAGGCCTGAGAACATTCTGATCCTTTTTTCCAGATGGACAGACCGAAAGAAAGGGTGTAAGGAGGAAGGAGTGCATGTTGCCCCTGACTTGCTCCACTGTCCTGCTTTGAGTGTGCAGGTCTGTGTCCCCTTTCCTGTGATTAGAGCCCATAAGACCTCACTCCATCTGTGAAGGGGCATTTACAGCTCTACTGGGCTCACCACTGGCAACAACCTCCTGGTAAGGGAAAGCTTGCAACCTGGCAGTCTTGACATAGTTCTGTGGAGAAAGTTAAAAGAACTGAGTGTTGGCCTTTCTGTTGCTTTTTCCATCCGTAAGGCCAGGCAGGCATATGCACCTTGAGAAGGTTGCAACAAAGAGGAATGTCCTGGCTACTGGGCAGAAGGAATGTGTTGGAAGAACACGAGAGGCAGAGAGGCCTTGGAAACAGGGCCCAAGGGAGGCTGCCGAAAGTCTGACAGCAGGAATCTGAGGCGGAGTTTGGGGGGGCGGGGGTCTGATCAGATGTTGTTGATGGTGTTCTTGCCACGAAAATTCTTCAACTGCATTCACATTCTTTCCTCTCTGGTTCAAGCTTCCAAGCCCCAAGACAGAGCCTCAGACAGTCTGAGACTGTTCCTTAGCTGGGGTGATGGGAGGAGGATGAGGATAAGATGGAAGAGGAGAGAGAGAGAGAGGAGGAGGAGGGGGACAGGAGAAGGAGGAACTGGTTTCTTGAATTTGTGAAAAGGGAAGAAACTAGTGCCTTCCACCAAAATTATGCACAAAGGAGGAAATGTATGTTGGTGCTATTAAGAGGGGATTTGGATGGAAACTTGACAAATGTTCTGCATATCCTGAGCCTGTGGCTGCCTCCAAGTCCTGGGGAAGTATGTCATGGTGGCAGATATTTACTTGTGATCAAGTTGGCTGGACAAGTGAGCATCACTATCTAGCGTAGAGAAAGGGCTGGTGCTCTGGAGGGCACAGCAGCCTTTTCTTCTTTTGGGACTTAAAAGGCTCACTTGCTGAACATTAAAACCCTGGTATTTGGGTCAGCTCTAGTCTGTCTCTCTTTATAGTTAGTCCCCAAACTCTGGCAGGCCCGTTCATTGGGACATAATGCTTAATAAAGCAAAGGTTCAGGGGTGCCTGGGTGGCTCAGTCAGTTAAGTGTCTGACTTTGGCTCAGGTCATGATCTCACGGTTTGTGGGTTCAAGCCCCACATCAGGCTCTGTGCTGACAGCTCAGAACCTGGAGCCTGCTTCAGATTCTGTCTCCCTCTCTCTCTGCTCCTCCCCCACTCACTGTTTCTCTCTCAAAAATAAATAAACATTAAAAAATTAAAATTAAAATTAAAAAAAAGCAAAGGTTCAAGTGCTAAGGGGTCGCTTCATACTTTCGAGCCCTGGCTCTTTTATAAAAGGGTGTCTTCTAGCCCAGGGGGCTAGTGGTGGTGAGAGGTATCACTGCAAACAGAAAACAGAGATGGGAGAAAACCTCATACATAGACCCAAAGAGCAGAAAGGGGCCTTGCACTTGTAGTCCAACCCACTCAGTCCTAACACAACCTTCTAAAAGGAGTAGAAAACTAAGCTGACAAAGGACCACATCACTTGGCCCAAAGAAGCAAAAGGAGAGGGTGGTTAAGAACAAGGGTGATCTGCTCCCAGGTAGATAAATGGGGCATCTTAGACACATGTTTCCTCTAGGGGTGATGGGACCTTCCTTTGTGTCAGGGGACCATCAAGGAGAACTTCACACATAGAGAGGACCAGTCCTCTGTCACCTAACAGCCGTCAGGTAAATATACTCTGAGAGGGATTTGCTCTTCTTGGAAATGCTGGTTCCCTAGAACCGAAACCCCCATCCATGTAAGTAGTGCCTCAGTATACACTTACTTTCAGGATTCTATCAATTGGAGGGAAGGGACAGATTCAGTGGCAACCTATGGCTGAAACTCCATCCACTGTCTGACATGTGGGTGTCTCTAAATAGGTGAGTCTAGATGCTCACGGCTTGCCTAAGGACAAAATACATGCACCTAGAGCAAAGTCAAGAAGGAGAGAAAGGGAAGCTGGAGCCTTAAAATACACTGGAATGGAATTCTCCATGCGTTCTAGTGAGGGTAACCATTTGTCCAGATTTTCCTAGGAGAGTCTCAGTTTACACCTGCTCTCCTGTATTAAGAGTCTCTCCCTCTTTTTTCTTAAGTGTCCTAGTTTGGGGGCAACTAGGTGGTTCAGTCAGTTAAGCATCTGACTTTGGCTCTGGACATAATATAAATTATATATATATATACACATAGTATATATATTTATTTTATATATATATATATATAAAATTTAGCTTCTGGCTCACTGTCATTTTCTCTAACCCAGTTGATCCTACCACAATATGGTCTCATCTAGTCTTAGGATTTTAAATATGTTCTCAAACCTGGACCTTTTTGCCTAAATGCTGGGATTGTATGCTCAACCATTTCCAACATCTCCACCAGGATTGCTAATAGGCATCTAATACTTAATCCACTGAAAACTGAGCTTTTGCTTCCCCTCACATCTCAGAACTCATTCCTCTTGGTTTCCCCCTCTAGCTCAGTAAAAGACAACTCCATTTCCCAGTACCTTGGAGCAAAAAACTAGGACTCACCTGGACTCCTCTATTCTTTCACACCTGATACTTGATTTGTCAGAAAATCCTGCTGTGTGTACCTTCAGAGTATATCGAGAATCTAACCACCTCTCTCTCCATTCATCATCACCTCTCCCCTAGAGTATTACAGTATCCTCTTAGTCTCTCTGTTTCCACATTTCCTTTCTACAGTTTACTCTCAACCAAGCAACTACAGGGAATTTGGTAAATTAGATCATGTCCCTCTTATGCTCAAAACCTTGCAATAGCATTAGAGGCAAATTCCTCATTATGACCTAGGAAATTCTATATGATCTGGCCCACCTGTTACCATTCTGACCTCATCTCCTGCTAAAATCCCCCATTTTCCCTCATCTAATCCAGTCCTACTGGCCTTCATGTCAGGCACACTCCTACTTCAGGGCAATTGTTCTTGCTGTTCCTTGGTCTGGAATACAACTGCCTCTTTGCCTTTTTCTCACTAAGTCCCTTCCTGAACAACCTACTACAATTTTTATCACCCACTCCTACAAATTCTATTCCTCTTTTCTTATTTTTCTTCTTAGCCCTTACCATTAAAACAGCATCTACATTACTTATATACCTTGTTTATTATCTGTCTGTCCCACTAGAATGTAAGTTCTGGTGGGCAGAGATTTCGTGTATTGTTTTCACTGCTGTTTGTCCTGTGTCCAAAAAAGTGCCTGACGCATAGTTTGTGCTCAATCAATATTTTTTGAAACAAGCATCAGTTAGAGACACCCTTAGTTTGCCTTTGGAGATTTTGCAACTTTCTAACAAATTCCAAGAACCTCCCATTGAAGGAGATAAATTCCGCTCCAACTCTCTGCCAGGTGAAGAAATATTTTTATCTAAGCCTGGATCTGTGGAAACCCAGACTTTGCCTGTACTCTTACTAGAAACGGGGTTCTACCACCTCACCAACCAGCCTTATTGGAAAAAAATCTGTGCATAAGAAAGTGCAGCCTTTTATGGAACCAGCTTCTAGGGTGTATCCATTGGTTCACTTTCCCCTTCCCTTCAGGGGACAGATTTCCTGTCTCCACGACCCGTTATGGTTCCTCCGACCCTGTCATCTGCAGCTTTACCCTAGTGTCTCTATGACTGTCTACTGTGGTGTAGTGTTCAGTCTCCTCACCATCCTTGTTGCCCTCTTCCGGACACCGTGCCCCATCTATATGAAGGCTCCCCAAACTGGGCATAGGACTCCAGCTCTGACCTCCCAGAGAGGACCATGGGTTACCACTTTACTTGGGGTTATGTCATAGAGACAGCGTTTGATGTGTGGTGATGGCCTCACTGCGTTGTGACAGGCTGTCCCTGGGCAGATGTGGGGCGGCAGAAGAGGAGCCATGGGGAGTGCTGGGATCTATGGTGGTGGTTTAAGTGAATGGGTTGGGTGTGCCAGAGAACGGAGAAGGTTGGGAGAGCTGTTAGGGACACGGACCTACAGGGTAACCAGCCTTCGGCCTGGGATGTGGATGGGCAGGTGGTGGTCTGAGTCATAGAAACTCTGCCTACTGGCCTAGTGCTTTGGAAGTTTCCTGAGGTGCTCTGAGGGGTCTTCTGATCATCAGAGGCTCCCATTATTTGGCTAGACAGGAGAGTTGGGGTGCAGGATATGAATGGGATTTTGTGTGTTTGTACTATAGAAAATCTGAAACCCAGCTCTTGAGCAGGTTGTTTAACTCTGTACACCACTTTCCTCATCTGTAAAATCATATCTCCCTTATAGGAAGGGCTCTTGACCATAGCCAGTGAGTTAGGAGATGTGAAAGTGCTTCTAAAATGTGAAGAGCTCTAAAAAACATAACTTCCTGCAATAAGAAAAATAAAGTGTTGAGGGTGACTAGGGCCATTTCTTGGCCCATGCTCTGAAGGAGCTTTGAGTCCTTGAGCAGTGAAGCCCACAGATGCCCCCTGGCCTAGGTGACCCCACCCCTGCTGCCTGAGAATGAGGGGACGCACCTGAAAATGGGGATGACATAGTTGTTGGGGAAGATGCCGACCCGCCCAGTGACCAAGGAGACGCCCCTGAGCCAGCCATCCGGGTACTTGCCCAGGACCCTGATGCCTTCTCCTTTCTGTAGGTCCAGCTCATCAGGCCCATGGGCTGAGTAGGAGTGCAGGGCCACAAACCTGGAGAGACAAAGGAACTGGGTAAAGAAGGGGAATGTGTCTGCCGGAGGGCATGAAACCAGGAAAAGGCTGACCTAGTGGTTAGCAATAACAGACTTATTAAAGGTGAAACTTTGGAATGGAAGGCAGGTAATAGAACCTGGTGAAGTAGCAGTGGATGGGCCCACATCCCTGCTCCTCCATAGAGTGCCACACAGCTGTGGATCACTAATTTAGGCCACCTTGGTATTTTGACAATGCGGAAACTGGCCTAGGATAGAGAAAGGAGTTGGTGACCTGGAATTAGTGGTAGAGTCTGCTCTCAAACCTAGAAATTATGGCTCTGCTCAGGATGCTTTTTCATACTACCTAGAGTATCACCCAAGAAAGTGGTTGCCTTCAGCACGTGCAGAGAAAGGAGGTCAGAACAGAAGCCTTTCTGATCTGCTTCTTCTGAGAGCGGGGACATATTTGATCTCCAGGAATGGCCAGAGGAGCTAGTTTAATGTAGGCATGGAAGTGGACATTGGGAAGGAGAGACAGGAGTTGATTTAGTTGGTTAGCAGACAGTGGAGTCCTGGCTACATGGCAGGATGGAGCATAATGGGCTTGTAACATTGCAAAATGTCCTTGGGTTACGGCAGTGACTCTTCACTCTGCAGTCCATGCAGGAGTCAGACAGATAACATCCAGTTATGAGTCAAGGGTGAAGACACTAGTGAGGGTGTGGAAGTGAGAATATATGCTTGATTAAAAGCATTAAAAGTAACCCATGTTGGCTTGCCAGATTTAGGTTACCGATGTATGGCCTCAGGCTGGACATCAAGAAGTCCCTCTAGACTCCAAGGACTGAGATTCTGGAAGGTTTTATCAAATGCGTTGGGTAGGGTGTTCTCCTCTGCAGGGTTTTCCCCCACTAAAATGCTACTTTTACTTTCTTCTGATCTTAAAACAACATCTGTTTATGACCCCACATTTTGAATCTAGAAGAAGACAATAGAAATTGTTCAGTATCCAATCTCCCAGCAATGTTTTGGTGTCCAATCTTCCAGTTTCCTTCTACTCTTGTAAAATAATGAGCTAGGATGATGTAGCTTGCCAGTTTGTGTTTTTCACCATTATTTTCTTTGAAGGATAAAAGGAAGGGGAGTAGTTGTCTCTCTGGATGAGACGGTTTGGGAACAGTGATGCCTGATGGCAGAGGGATGGCGAAGGTGACCTCTTTGGCCAGGCCCCAGAGGGTGGAGGGCTGAGCTTATTACTCACATATTTGCTGAGAGGTGTTGCTGGGAGCTGGGCAGACTGATGATGGCTGTGGAATGTCCTGGCGAGGCAGGTACGGAGTGGTAAGTGCTGACCTACACAGACAGAAAAGACAGCCAAGCAGAACCAGTGAATGCCATGAGCCAGGCCCACAGCAGCGCTGCTGCAGAAAGGCCTGACTCAGCTGAAAACCAAGAGCGTTGCCCAGTGCCACGCATTGTGATCTTCTCTGTGGCTTGTCACTGGGGGCAGAGTGAGGTGGGGATGGACTGGTTTATGGCCTGCCTGGATGGCATGCCAGGGCTGCCTTCCAAATGACTGCTCCAATACGGTGGAAGATGAAGACTCATCCAGTCGCTAGTCAACAGGACACTGCCATGTTCCTCGATCTATTCCCCAGCCTCTCCTGACCCACCTCCCTGTGCACTCACCCCCTCTATGGAAACTTATACTCAGAAAATGATATCATGGCTACTAATGAGAACTTAATACTGGCCAGACACTTTTAAGTGCTTTACAAGTATTAGCTAATTTAATCCTTATGAAAGGTACCATTGACATCCCTAATTTTGGATGATAAATGGAGGGAAAGATCACCCAGTTATAAAGAAACCAAATTTTAAACCAGGGTAGTCTAGGTCCTGAGCCCATACTCTTACTGATGCTAGTATTAACATACTCACGCATGCACACACGCCAGTTTGCCCAGTGACTTATGAAAGTGAATCTGAATAGTGTTTACTTTGCCAGAACGAAAGAGAGAGCAACGCTGCTAAACATACTTGGAAACTACTCTCTTGGAACCTTGCCTATTTATGATATTACCTTGTTTATTTCCTTCACGGCACATATCTCAGAGTTGACTGCCCCACCACGAGACTGTTAAGTTCTGAGGGCAGGGACTATGTCTTGTTCATCACTGTGTTTTCTATGTGCCCAATATATACTTGTGGCCTAAAGAAAAAGTAAATGAATGAAAAGATCTTCCTACCCAGGACACCAAGGACTAAGGTAATCTCAACCATCTCCATGTCATCCAGAGCAAATACATTCAATCTATCTTCAGTTGGGGCCCCATAAATGATGGTAACTATATGTGTGTGGCTTTTTTAGGACTCTGCTTCTGTGGGCACAACTATTATTTGTATATGTGTCTTTGGGCAAGAGTGAGTGTGTTATCAAGTGCATGTGTCCCTGGTTCTTTGTGTATGCTTGTTCACAACCCATGACAGTTGTATGCACAGTTGTATTCACAGCCCGTGACAGTTGTGTGACAGCACTGGTCTGTATGTCTAATTGTATTCACACATGTGAGTGTCTGGACTGACAGGCTTGTACACTGTGTGTGACTGTACATGAGCTTGTGATTGTAAATGTCTATGCGGGGTTCTATGTATACATATGTGAACTCTAGAGGTATGTGCTGGTATATGCCGGTATGCACAACTTGGCAGTTTTGTGTGTGTTCTGTGGTGATGATTGTCTAAATATATGTGTGCTGTGTATGTATGTTTGACATTTTGCAGTTATAATTGCAGAATCAAAAAACCATTCCAATCAGATAATAACAAGTGTTGGTGAGAGTGTAGAAAACCAAAACTTTCATGCATTTGCTAGTGGGAAGGTAATATGGTGAAGCTTCTTTAGAAAATAGTCTGCTGGTTCCTTGAATGACTAACCAGAAGTAGCATATGATGCAGTAAGTCCACTCCTAGTCCATACCCAGGAAAAATGAAAACATACGTCTACATGAAAACTTGTACACAAATGTTTGTAGCAGCATTATTTATAATAGCCTAAAGGTGGAAATAACCCCAACACCCACTGACTGATGAATGGAGAAAGAAAATGTGATGTATCTGTACAGTGACACATTATTCAGCCATTAAAGGAATGAAGTATTGTGATGTGTTAGAACATGCATAAACCTGGAAGACATTACACCAAGTGAAAAGAGTCAGGTACAAAAGGCAGTATTATATAATTCCATTTATGTGACATGCCCAGAATAGACAAATCTGTAGGGATAGAAAGTAGATTAGGGGTTGAGGATGAAAAGGTTTATGGAGTGGTAGTCAAAGAGTACAGGGTTTCTTGTGGAGGTGATGAAATGTTGCAAAGTTGTGGTAATGATTGCACATACCTGTGAATATATTAAAAGCCACTGAATTGTATACTTTTTCACGTAATCTCCACACCCAGTGTGGAGCTCAAATTCACAACCCCTGCATCAAGAGGTACACACTCTTCCGACTAAGCCAGCCAGGCAGCCCTGAATTGTACACGTTAAAATGGGTGACTTGCATGGCATGTGAAGCATATCTCAATAATCTCTTTAAAAAATTCCATAATCACCCATCCAGTGCTCTCTAACACTGTGTAAAGTGTCTGTGCTTTGCAATCAAATATGGTCACACCAGTTCTTTTAAAGAGGGAGGAAAAGTTTGCCAGCTTTGAGTTGGGTTGCTCCTTTTCTGTGACTGGGCAAAATAAATTCCTGCTGGGCTTGGGATTTGTGCCAAGGGAGAGTCTTGTTAGGCGAACAGTTAATCTTAGGTTTGTGGAGACTGCTGGATCACTGATTAAGCACGATGCCCTTCACTTAACACCCATGACTTCTCATTGTTAGGCTTGAGCAAAAAGCCCTCCTATCTATAAACACTATATTAATCATCAGGGAAGAAAAAAATGTCAGAATGCAAAGCCATCCCTCTTTGACACCAGGGTTTGTCTTTTTACTTCTCTAGATCTTCATCTGGCAGGGGGGAGGGGGTGTCCTTCTTCCTGTTTGGAACACAGAGCCTAGCCAGGACTGAAATTAGTGGGCTTGTGGTCAGTGGATTCTTCCTAATATGAAAGAGGAAGTGAGGCCAGCTTCTCAGGTTTTGAGGTGATGGGAGAACATCCATGAACAAGGAGGAAAGAGGCAAAGAAGGAGGGAGGAGAGAAGGGGAGCTAGTGGACAGCTCTGGGGGTGGAGGAGGTGTCAGAAACTGGGACCGGACGTAGTGGGAGAAAGAAATAGAGCCAGAGGGATAGAAGGAGGAAGAAAGAAGAAAAGGCATATAAAAAGGTAACAGAAAACCTCTTATAACCCATAGAGAAAACGACAAACTATCCAATAAAAAATGGGTAAAAGATACCACAAAAGGAGATATATTGAGTGGTCAAGAAGCATATGAGAAGATGCTCAATACCAGTAATTATCAGGAAAATGTGAATTAAAACTACAAGATACAACTACACATCTATGAGAATGGCTAAAATTAAAATGACTGACCATACCAAGTGTTGGTGAGAATGTGGAGCAACTATAATTCTTACATACTGCCGGTGGGAAGGTAAAATGGTGCCACTGCATTGGAAAACAAGTTGGCTGTTTGTTATCAAGTTAAATAGACACTTAACACACTACTTAGCAACCCTACTCATGAGTAGTTATCAGAGTAAGATGGAAACATGTGTCCATACTTGTACACCAATGTTCTTAGTGGCTTTATTCATTTTAGCCCTGAACTGGAAACAACCCAAATTCCAATCAACTGGTGAATAAATAAGCAAATGATGGCACAACCACAAGGCAATATTCCTTGGCAACACATGCAATGGCGTGGATAAATCTTAACATCATCCTAAGTAAAAGAAGCAGGACTCATAAGACTACATATTCTACTTTGTCATTTATATGACATTCTTAAAAATACCCAAACTAGTGACAGAAAACAGATGGAGGATTGCTACTGGCCAGGGGAGAGGATTGACTGATTGCAAAAAACTTTCTGGGGTGATGGAAATGTTCTATGTCTTGATTTTGGTAGGCATAACATGCCTTTATGCATTTGCCAAAAGTCATTGAATTGTTGACTTAAAAGGGCTGAACTGTATTGTATATGACTATGCTCAATAAAGCTGATAAAAAAAATAGGAATATATTACGTAGTTGGCAGGAAAATCCAAGGAGCCTGAGCTTGACCCAGCCCAAGCTCTGGGACTGGTCAGAGGAGTGGATAGGGATAGTTCAGCTTATTACTGAGCAGTTAGCAAGCAACCCTCATAGCAGAGGGCCGCTTGAAATGGAGAGAAATCAAGATTGGAAATCTATGGATCAGACGCAAGCTCAATACATAAGGTGGAAATGTAAATGAAATGAATGAAGGGACAGATAAATGAAGTGATAAGGGAAAAGAGAGCAAGATAGCTAAAGGCAGAGAAGGGCGAGTGTGGCAGGGAAGGAGGACAGACAGAACAAGGCAGAAATGAAGGCCCCACTGGATCAATGGGGGACAACCAGGTGGGTGGCCAACTTCTGAGGGGGCAAGTGTGTTTCACCAGACTGAGAGAACAGGCCTCTAGCAGGTGGTTCCCTGCGGTCAGTTGTGACCTTAGGTCCCTATGCCAACAAGGAACTGGAGGCCAGATGCAAGGTTCTCCAGCAACTGGTGCTTCCTGGCATAGTGTCTGGGGACTTGAGCAGGGTCAGGCAGGATGCGTATTTGAGGGCAGGGGAGGGGGGTGGATATTTCTGCTACAATCTGAAAACATGTTTTCCTCTTTTTTGAAGGAAATGACTCCTTGAAAAGAAGCTTTTATCAGTAGCGGAAGAATCTACAGCTGTGTGGCTTCTGGCCGGTTTCGGGTCCTGGGGTGTTAAATGAGGGAGGAAGCAGGTATGCAGTCTGCAGGGTTGTTGCAACATTCTGTTGGCCCCGGTGCCTTCACCATCAGCCATACAGGGTGTGCAGGATGTGCAGCTGTTTCAGAAGTCTGGAGAGGAAGTCTAGCTTAGTATTTGGCCGTGAGGCTCTAGCATTTACTAGGGTTTGTGATTTGGGCAAATGACTCAATTTTGAGGGTCCTCCATTTCCTCATCTACAAAATGAGGGCAATAATGGTATTTCTCTCAAAGTTGTTAGGAGGATTAACTGAAGTAATCAATGTAGGTTATTTAGCATACTGTAAGAGCTTAATAAATACTACTTATTTCAATCTGGAAAGAGATTAGCTACTGCCTAGGGTGGGGATGGGGTGGGTGGAGCATCTGTCTCCTTTTATGCAATAGCCCTGCAAGATTTGGGCTGAAGGCAGGACCCAAGAG